CTGGCAACATTCCTGAGCACCAACACGGCCGTGAGCGGTATCCCCGCAGCCTCGCCACGGTCATCGATGCCCGTCTGGTTGCGCCTGATGACTAGCTTGATCTGCTTGGGGTCTTCGGACCAGTCGCTCGCTGAGGGGTAACGGGAGGAGGGGTGGGGGGTGATTTTAGGTGGGTTGGTTTCAGGCATGTGCGTCCGCACGTGGGCTATTACTTTTCTCCTATCCGAGTCACCGGTGGGGTGGAAGCGCTCGCAGCCACCCCAGTTGCAGAAGAGCTTTGCTTGTGGTTGCTGTGTGGGGTCGGGCGGAGAGAGGTGGTCTTTCAGAATGTGTACCCAGAGGTCTTGTGGTGTTGCGAGTTGGGCGGGGCATTTGGTGGGTTGGGTTGGCTGTTGTTGTTGTGCTTGTGCGGTATCAGTGCCAGTGGTATTGTTGATATTGGTGACGGTGATCCATTTGCAGGCGAGGTAGACCTGGCCCTTTATAGACATTGGTGTTTCCCGGGGTTTTATGCCCTTTATGATGAATTTTTGGCCGCCGCCGGGTATGGGAAGGACCATTGCTGAGGCGTTGTTGAAGGCTACACTTACATTTTTTATGAATTCCGCCGCAGGGAGGAGAGGACGGCCAGCGGCGACGTATTCGGTGAAGCGGGCTTGGTACGCTTGCCAGAGCGCTATCTGGGTGATATCAGCGTTTGAGTCTTCCTCGAAGCAGCATCTCATCCTAATGCATAGCACTGTCAGCGATAGATATAATAAATATATGCATAGCGTATATAAGGACTAACCATTTAGCCGCACGATCTGGCTCAGCATAACTCAACAAGTCATTGACAATTTCCTGGGGTAGATTAGGTATCACCGTGGTCTTGATGATAGGCTTCAGTGAGCCCGTCAAAAACACAACTTGATCTCCTGGAACGGCCTGATGTAACAGCAACCTTGTCAATTGCTTGACTATCTCAATTCCATCAGGCGGCTGTATCAGCTTTTCCACATTTTCTTCATTCGTAGTGTATTGGTATAAGAAGTCAAGGCAAGCCGAAACCAAGTCTTCATCCTCTAGCATGATGAGGGCCTTGACTCTGTCGATTGCGAGTTTATTGATCTGCCCTATACAGTTGGCCTCATCACGACCCATAACGAGCCTGCAGATTGCCCTGAGTGAGCCCAGAACTAAGCCGCGGTCGTCGGAGAGGAGGTTCGCATGAAGGGTTGGGAACAAGTCATCGTCGACAGCGAGTGAGAAGTGGATCGCCATGGCCTCAACCATATCCAGTATGTAGTGTTTTAATTCTATAAGGCAGCTCTGTCCAGGCAGGTTCATGCAGGCAACTATAATTTGCCGACCATTCTTGAGGCGGGAAAAGTATCTAGCGTTATCAGGTTGTAATGACATGTTGCGGAGAACAAGAGCGGCCTCATTTATTTTTTCGAGCAGCTTCACGAATTTTGAATCACTCAAAAGCTCTCCGGCACCCTCGGGGTAGCAGGTGCTGGCAAGGGGTTGAATGGTGGCAAGTTTCTCGAAGAGAGCCTCGGATAGTCCTGGATATGCCTCCGCACGTAATTCGTCGCCGGATTCAAACGATATTCGAACCAACTGACTCAGAGAGTAGTCAACTTCACTAGGGATGCCAGACTTGAGACCCATCGAGATTCGGACCATTGGGGCAGCTCCCTGATGTCCGGCTAATTCCTATAATCAGCATGCTTCCACCCTAACCGCCGCAGAATGAATGGATGTATATACCCCCGTGTCTATTGGGATTCGAGATAAGAACTTCTGCCGCCCTCCGCTTGTGGTTTACAAACTCATGCGGGGCATTCCGGGGTGTTGCGACTGGTCTTCCGATAGGCGCATTGATGCTGCTGGATTGAAAGCTAGGAAAGTTCAATGTGTTGCCGTTCATTTGGTTGTTCGGCGAGCCCTGTTGCCCCTGCTGACGGGAATCGGAGGGTATACGGGAAAGGTGTTGGCGCTGTGGGGTCGTATCGGGGTTGTAAAAGGTTCTCGGCGTGGGCGCTTGACGGAGGCCTATGGGATAATCCCGAACTTGAATATTAGGTCATGTGAAAATTGTATCCACAAAGATTAGGGGAGGGGAAGCATACTTCGCTTCTCGGAGGGCGGAGGGGTTGGCGATTTATCACCCTTCGATTCCGGGCGTGGCGATGCTTCCTGAAAGTCTTCTGCCGTTCTGGTCATGATAGAACCTCCGGCGGCGGACCTTTCTTCCAACCACTCCTTGGGTGGGGGCTCTTTCCCGAAGAAATTTGAGATTTCGTATGCCCTATGAGGAGGGTTTAGCAGAGGACACACCAGAGGGGTCGGGGAGATGGCGGAAACCGCGCGACCAACGTACGCGAGATTTTTGTAGTAGATGGTTTTGAGGAGATAGCCAGCGTTGGTATTGTTTGCAGCAAGCTTGTACCCCAGGGCGAGGTCCCTCCAAGCACCTTGATATTTTTCAGCGCCACGGTCAACGCCCACCCACACAGCAAGGCCATGCTAACAGAGGGACGCACCTTTTTCTTCAGTAACCTTATCGTATCCGCCTAATGATGTAACCTTATTGTAAAGCTTGCGCAAGTCAAGAAGTTTGCGACCCAACTCGGGTTCGATGGTGAGGGTGGTCCTGTGAAGCAGAAGAGAGTGCGGAAAGAAAAAGGGTCGCAGTTAGCCCTAAGCTCCCCAAAGCAAGCGGCACAATGAAGGGCAAGCAAATGGACGGACGGCGATGCGAATGAAAACCCCTAAAAACATGGGGGATGCCCTGACTAACCCTCGTTTCCGGTGATACGCTCTGAGCTTATCGATGAATTCATTATATTCCGGTGTCCTTTCAATTTCAGTGCTAAGAACTCGATTCGCCCAAGGACCTTTGCGCTCGCGCTCGGGTGTCGGTGCGGCCATGGTGTCTCCTTTCTGTCCCTCTGGACTATTTTCCCTCTACTCCACCACACGTTTTTCTGGACACTGACTGTGTGGGTATTCTTTTTTCTCTTCAAGGATCCGCAGACTTTGGGAGGATTTATGTGTCAGGATGGCAAAGACAGGGGGGGTATTCGGGCCGCTAAACTGATTATGAGTTGTCGAGGGGGGGGGTTCTGTGCCGAGAGTGGATAGCAAACGGCGAGTTGTGAATATCTATCGCAGTCAGAGACGGTTAACTGGGGAAGACGCGTTGGAACTTGGCTTGTAAGCACCAGAAGTCAGGGAAAAAGTCGTCGCTTCTTGCTTTCTCTTCTCCTTCCAGCGCGCGTCCCGATCTCTCCCCGTCAATTTCCTTTTACGACCGATTTAATCACATTTAGGCAGAGCAGTTGGGTGTGTCAGCATGACCGTTTATGGTAAGTTTTGTGGAGTGGAGATGGGCACAAATTGCCTTTTTTAGGCATAAGATTGTGGTATCCCTTTTTTGGGACATGATGGGAATGAGGCTCTGGTATAAGCTTTTCGGTTGGCTTAGATTGAGTGACATCCGTTCAGATTGTACCCGGTGGATCACCAAGATTGGATTATTCGGTGGTTGACATCCCCCCCCCACACTCTGCCACTCAGGAAAATACGAGGATAATGATTAACCTGCTGGGCAACGGTGTAACAACAAACCCTCTCTGCCCTTAACTTATCTGTCAACCAGTAATATCAACAACCCGTAATATCAACTCCGCTACCAACAAATCAGCCTATAACCTGGACGGGCCCAATCCACTCTCCTTCCAGGAATCTCAATTCATTAGATGATGCTTCGATAAGAGGAGGAGGAGGAGGGACATGACAAGAATCTAGGAAGATGAACACACAACCATGCTCAGCCATGCCTACTCGAGCGTGTACGAGTACTGTACCATACAGTTCCATCTCTCACGTGCTAGTATGCACATACTCTGGCTCCCCAGTCCCGCCAAAGCCAACATAGAAATTTCTAAAACTCACAGATTGCAATACACCGACATAAACCGCTGGCAACAAACACCATTCCAAAAGGTTCATCAAAGAAGCATTTCTGTCAAGTTGCCAGAATTGATACGGCCATATGTACTACGGGAACCAAGATATAATACAGGATTCTAACGCTTTTACCGACAATCTCGCAAAAAGCTTTCGAAAAAGAGAAAAGAAAAAAAAAACTATATAAGACCTCCATCCGTATTGCATCCCCCCCCCCCCTCCTCTCCCCCGCTACCGGTAGTAGTTAAGTGAAAAGCACCTACCATTGTGAACATGCGTACGCAGAGAGGAGGAAGCCGGTTCGAAGAAAATTATTTCTACCACGCCTTATCAAGTCAATTGTAAAACTCTGTATGACATAATATACATCTACCGCTTTCTCTCTCAAAACATACAAGATCTCAATATAAGGGGGGTTTTTTTTTTTCTTTTTTCCCGGAAAAACTTCTCCCATCTATCTATCTATCTATTTGAACATTTCACGTCTGGCGAGGGAAAAAAAGAAAAAAAGAAAAAAAGAAAACAACTGCAGTATCATTCCCACTCTGCAAAACTTATTCATTAATGATGAGCGGACAGACAGACATCCGTATCGTCCACCCCTCTAGATTTTGGAATTGTTATTCTCCAGCATGGAGAAAAAAAAATTAAATTCCCTTTCAACTTCTTTAAAAATCTGCAGCGGACTAGTACCCAAATAATCCAAACCTATCACGGTACCCCCCCCCCCCCCCCCCATGAGGATCCACTGAAAACAATGTTCAAAGTCCTAAATCTCTACAGTCAATGCAAGATTGAAAATGAAAATGAAAAAAAAAAAAAAAAAAAATCCTATGATACCATCCCCTTCAAAGCCTCTCTCTCTCATAATCCCTCTTCCTTTCGGGATAAGTCCCAAAAGTTCCTAGAAATAGCCAAGAATCATCAGCTCGGAGAGAGAGAGAGAGAGAGAGACGCAAACACCTCACATAAAAAACTGCCATTACACTTCCACAACAACAACATCCCTAATTACTCCCAATAGTCAACCATTTACCAACGGTTCCATGGCTCAGTTGATTAGCGCGTGGTGCTAATATTTCGTATGTTACGCCAAGGCTGAGAGTTCGACCCTCTCTGGAACCAATCGCGATCTTGCATTGTTCATTTTTTATTCATTTTGTTGTTGTTTCCCGTATGCTGGGACTTTGTCCTTCGGAAGCCGTGGAAATGTGTATGCGCCTGTCCAGTATGTTTGTGCATAGAAGCTGAGCTATTTGTGTTGTGATTCGTTTTGGGTATGTGTGATGGACCATGTACGATACGGTGCTCAGTATAATACATGGCTGTAGAGAGAAATTCAAGAACCATGGAGCACAGCACAGCGTCACTAGAGGTGTTGGAAATTTTTTATGGAAAAGTTGGTTCATTTATATCTACCACCGCTAGACGGAAAAAGCTAATCCAAGATATCTTGCCACACCCACCACACGCCTAGCCTATGAAGGAAAAAAACAATAGCAAGAGAAAAAACCCATCCGAGTGACGAACTATGACTACCCAACCCACCTCCTTGCGCTTCTAAAAATTCTTACCCAGGGACCGACACCACCCCACTCCCCTCCCCACCCAGTGGGCTTGTAGCTAACCGCCTCCTGTAGAACAGATCTCTCCGGATGCGGCATCATAGCCAACACCCTCCCATTCTCATTCCTAACACCGGTGAGACCCCCTGGAGATCCATTCGGATTGTACGGATAACGGTCGGTATGATTGCCTCTGTTATCCACATAGCGGATGGAGGCGAGACCGGAGGCTTCGAGGTTGGATTGTTGACGAGCGGATGCGAAAGTGGCTTTACCCTCGCCGTGAGCGGTGGCAACGGGGAAGCGGGCCCCGTGCATTCCGTTTAAGAATACGCTAGACACCTCGAGGCCGGGGGGGTTTGAAATTTCGACCATGCAAAGGCGGGCCTCGTACTGCTCGCTTACGTTACGCTCGAATGTTGGCCAATATTCCGTTCCCGGGATCAAGGAGGTGAGCCTGCTGAAAAATTGACAGCCATTACAGACCCCTAGTGCGAAGGTGTCATTGCGGGTCTTGAAGAAGTTTTCGAATTCCTGTCTGGTCTTCTCGTGCAAGAGAACGGATTTGGCCCATCCTGCGCCGGCGCCTAATACGTCGCCATAGGAGAACCCGCCGCATGCGGCGATGCCGACAAAGTCCAAGAGTGAGGTGTTCCCATCAATTATGTCTGTCATGTGAACATCCACAGGTGTGAACCCGGCCAGCTTGAAGGCAAAGGCCATCTCGGCGTGGCCATTTACGCCTTGTTCGCGGAGGATTGCTACACGGGGTTTGGAGGTTGGGAGAGTGGTGAAAAGGAGATTGGAGGGGGTAAATGTGAGGGTGTAAGTTAGGCCTGGGTCGTCATCATCGAGGATGTTCTCGTATTCTTGGTCAGCGCAGAGAGGGTTGTCGCGCAGACGTTGCATTGCGTAGGAGGTTTCAGACCATTTCTGTTGGAGCTCTCCTCGGGGAGTGCGACCGTAGACGACTTCCCCATCGTGGTCAATACTAATAGTTTGGTCATTGGAGGTCTTGACCACTCCAATGGTATAGAGGTATTGTTTTGGGAACCCAGAATTCCCAAAGGCATCCTTGAAATCTCCGAGATTAGACTCACTGACCTGGAAGACTGCTCCAAGTTCCTCGTTGAACAAGGCTGCTATAATGTCTTTGGGGTTTCTATTATCCGCATAATCCTTTAGTTTTATATCGACACCGACCCTTCCCGCAAATGCCATCTCAACGATCGCAGTAAATATACCACCATCACTCCTGTCATGATATGCATGGACAATCCCAAGCTCTCTGAGCTTCTTACATGCATCAAAGTAGGCCCTAATAACCCCGGCATCTCTCACATCAGGAGCATTGGTTCCAACTTGTTGGAATACCTGGCAAAGAGCACTCCCACCCATCTCCTTCTTGCCAAGCGCCAAATCGACAAAGACAAGTTCCGATCCTTTCTCCCGCTTCAGTGCAGGAGTCCAGGTCTTGCCAACATGCTCAACAGCAGCAAAGGCAGTGACAACGAGTGATACTGGAGCAGTGACCTCCTTATCTTCACCATTGCTCTTCCACTTCATCTTCATACTCACAGAATCCTTTCCAACAGGAATACTAATCCCCAAATTTGGACAAAGATCCATGCCGACAGCTTCAACAGCTTCATATAAAGCCGCTCCCTCGCCAGGGTGGCTACCAGCCGCCATCCAGTTTGCCGACAACCGGACACGTTTTAGACCGCCTTGGATGTCCGCTGCGGCCAAGTTGAGGATAGACTCTGCAACGGCCATGCGTGCAGATGCTGCAGGAGAGATTAGGGCCAGAGTTGGCTTCTCGCCCATCGCCATGGCTTCACCCGTGACTGATTCTTCAGACAGCGAAGTTGCAGTAACGGCGACATCTGCAACAGGGACCTGCCAAGGGCCGACCATCTGATCCCGAGTGACCAGCCCAGTAACAGTCCTGTCACCAATAGTGATGAGGAAGTTCTTGGAGCCGACACTAGGAAGCTTCAACACCCTATCTACAGCCTCAGCCAAGCGGTCTTCCAGAGGTAGATTTGGGAGGTAGGTTTCCAAGCTACTATCAAACTGAACATGGTCTAACTCCCGGGTTGCAACATTCCTGTGCATCTTCGGAGGCTTTCCGAACAGCGTCGACATGGGAAGGTCAATGACTTTAGGGTGGTCCCTACTGTCCCTGTCCTTGAGGACCAACCTTCGCTCTGCTTCACTTCCTCCGTCAGCTCTACCAACAACAGAGAACCCACAGCGCTCCCGTTTGGCGATCGTTACAAAGGTCTTCAAGCCGGACTCTGCCACAGCCATGACATACCGCTCCTGAGCTTCGCAACACCATATCTGCAGAGGACTCATTCCTTTGTCGGCATTCTCAACCTCTCGAAGCTCAAAAGTAGCTCCTAAACCAGCATCGTGTACTAGCTCTGGAAGAGCATTTGAAAGCCCACCAGCACCGACATCATGAATAGACCTTATAGGGCTGTCCTTTCCCATAGCGACACAAGCATCAATAACCATCTGTGCACGCCTCTGCTGTTCCGGGTTCCCTCTCTGAACAGAAGCAAAGTCGAGATCTACCGACCCCTCGCCGGAAGTAATACTACTAGCCGCACCTCCACCCAGTCCAATCAACATTGCCGGACCACCAAGAACAATCAAGTATGCCCCCGGCTCGATCATTCCAGCCTCCTTAATAGCATGTACGGGGCGAACAGTGCCCAACCCACCAGCAAGCATTATAGGTTTATGGTATCCTCTAATCTCCTTCACTTTTTTATGTTCCACTATTGTCGTCAGAGTCCGGAAATAGCCCATTATACACGGTCTCCCAAATTCATTATTGAATGCTGCCGACCCTATAGGCGCCTCAAGCATAATATCCAAGGGGCTGGCAATATGGTTGGGCCTGCCAACGTTCAATTCCCAAGGCCGCTGATGTCCGGGGATTAAAAGGTCTGACACACTGAATCCTGCTAGCCCAGCTTTTGGTTTGGATCCCCGACCCACAGCACCCTCATCGCGAATCTCACCACCGGAGCCGGTGGCAGCACCGGGGTACGGCGATACGGCAGTTGGATGATTGTGCGTTTCAACCTTGGCAACGAAATGTACCATTTCCTGTGTAGATTTCCACTCCTTCAATTCTGGATCCGGCGCCCAGTGCACGCCATTATTCCCTTCAAGTACGGCCGCATTATCAGAGTACGCAGAAATGGTGTGGCCAGGGCTGATTGTATGTGTGTTTCTAATCATCTCGAAGAGAGAGTATGGCTTTGTCTGTCCATCAATTTCCCAGGATGCGTTAAACTGCTTGTGACGGCAGTGTTCCGAGTTCACCTGAGCAAACATGAACAGCTCGACATCGTAGGGATTCCGAGGACATGGGCCAGTATCAGAGAACGCCTCGAGGAGATACTGCATCTCAAAAGAGTCCAATGCCAGACCCAACGTTCTATTCGCCGACTCAATGGCCTCCAATGGCGAAGACGCAGAAGATCGAAGATCGACCTGCCCAACAGGGAGCGGCTCATGGGTGCCAAACAACACTTCGTAAGTAGGAGGTCCCTCTTGACATGTCTAGACCGAAAAACACACATCAGCCCCAATAACCTTTCATTCAAAAACACCTAGAGGTTAGGCGAGTACGCGCCTGAGTCATGCGATCAAACAGCACATTATCCACCCCCCCAAATCCCCCACCAAGCCCAAGCTCTTTCTCAAACGCCACAGAAAATAAAACTCCCCTCTCAATTCTCTTAACATAGCCCTTCAACCCACAAACATGTGCAATGGACGTCGCCTTCGAAGACCAAGGACTAATGGTCCCCTTCCTGGGAAACACTGAAAGCACCAAAGTATTACTCATAAAGCCCACTTCCTTCTGACCCTTAGCGTACGCAATCAATTTTCCAGTCTCCTCGTCATCGTTCAACTTTGAGGACATGTCGCCATAGTGCAACAATTGGTCTAGGCATTCTCTCTCCTTCGAATTCACATCTTCTAGGATACTCACGTCCACACCATCCTGGGGGCAGACGTAGTGTATGAAAATTGAGCGGACGGAGACGGCCTTGTTGGTGTTGGAGACTGTGGAAACTATGGCCTTTTGGATCTCCTCTAGACGGAACAAGGAATTAGCCGGTGGGCCGGGGAGAGCTAGGTATCTCCGTTCGGGAGGAGAGCTAGCCATCGTGTATGGGTGTGTGAGAGTATGGAAGTGTTGATGGTAGGTAGAGAGGAAGAGGAGGGGTTGCCGTTGGTTGAAATTTTGGCTGCCCCACCTTGATGGGTAGTGGGGTATGCCGAGGTTCGGCCAGTCTATAAAAGTAACCTTAAGGCCTATTCGGAGGTAATCAGAAACCAAGGATTGCCGTACCCGCAGCCACACCAAGGGAGATATGGTTTAAGGGCGCGTCTATGATAGTCTAGTTGTCACCTCAAACCGTCATTTTAACCATAACACAATTCTGTAATTAGGTTATCATAATGGGGTCAAAAACAACGATTGCTGAAATATTCATCCGACCAATATCAACCCACCCTTCATAATAACAA